GAGGCAAGCTCGGTGTGAGGCGGGGCTGCGCGGCCTACAGGGCCCTGGGGGTGGGCGCATCGATGAGCTGCGAGGTAGGTTGATTTGCCCCCGATCCCTTGGGCTGCAGGTGGGTTGCGGCCTGGTCCTTTCCCTAAGCGCAGCCCCCGCAGCTCCGTCCCCCGCCCCTGCCCGGACTTTGCCCTCAGCTCCCTCCGGAGAGGCCCCTAATCGAGGTGCCTGTGGCCTGGGCTTTTGCTAGTGGAACAGGAGGCGGCCTGGCAGGGACTTGCAGACAAGCCAGGCCCTTTTGTGTCTAGCCCCCCCAAAAGTATAGGCCCCTGCAGCCTCAGTGTTTTTACTGGTGCCCACCACTGGCCTCCAAGCAGGCAGCGGGCAGTGGGGGAAGTGGGAGGCTTTGCTGTCCAAACGACTGTTGAGTTTTTCCTTCCCTTTAAACAGGTGGTTGTGTTGTACTTTGCCAGGAGCGCAGAGCTAGCGGGGGTTCGCTCAGAGACCGTTTCCGTGCCACAGCGAATCACCTCTCTCCAGCTGTGGGATGAAATTGTGAAGAGACGTTCGAGGTAGTTCAGACGTGGGGTTGGCATGCAGCGAGCTGCCTGATGGGGAGGCTGTAGTGGATGGACCACATGGGTGCGCAGCTTGGGAGCCTAAAAGTTGTGGAACGGGTTTTAGGGGATTTTTTGCTGTGAATGATCACATCTGTAAGTGTGTTTTCTGCTGAACATGGGGCACAGGAGCTGTGATCCAAGCTCCCATGGGAGGTGTGATGTTGCATGGAAATGATGTCTGGATTGATTAGTCTGAAAAGAGGGCACAAGGAAGAGCTGAAGAGTCCTGGGTCCTGCTCTCAGGTTGACTTCTGTATTTTATTCAGTGACTTACTCTAAAATGCAAAAACAATCTTAGGAGCAGGGCCCAGGATCTAGAAGTCCCCTGCCCGAAGGGGTGCCCTAACACCAGGCAACAGCCATGCTTTCTCTCTCAGGCCCAGTGGCTCTCGAATTCCTTCTGTGCAGGAACAAGAGGTAGAGGAAAGGGGGGAGGGTGTGGTTTTGATGCTGTTCTACTAGACCAACTGTACAGTGGAAAGATATTACATAAACTTTTGGGCACAAAGTATCTTGCATCAAGTCTAGGAAAGAAGCAGGTACAGTCTAAGTTAAGCACAAACCACTCTTATCCAGTATTTAACTCCATATGTAAAAGCAGCTTTTCAAAACTTTCAAAACTTAAAAGAACTGAGGAGGGTTGTAAACTAAGAGCAAAGAAAAGTCATCAGAAGTAATTTCAGATATCAGAAATGCAGTTTAATAGCTAACCAAACTTTGCCCAACTTGTCATCAGGAGCAAAAGCTAGGCTGATCAGCAAACAACAATCAGTGCACAGCTCTGCTTTATGAGTAAATGTAAAGCCCATCAACACACTGCCAGCATAATCCAAACTCCCCACAATGAAGCCATTGGGATTTGTCCCAGAATGTGGGATACCTCGTCCAAAGTATACTGCCCCCATGGAGAATATGGGGGTGAAACTCAACCTCTGTGCTCCAAAATGAATTCTCACAGAAAAAAATGAGAAGGGGCAGAGTCACCCAGTCACTTGTAGGAGAACACTTCACATTACTGAAGGGAAATCTACAAAATGCCTTTAGAAGGTAGGTGTAGGATCAAAAAATCGTAACTTTACACTGCTCACTTCACACCATGGACTAAGCGTAGACAGTGGGTTCATGGTTTTTTATTATCCAACTTTTATGGATGCAGTATTGTAGTTGCCATGATGGTCAAGGAAATATATGAGAAGCAAGGATCTTTTTGGTGATATCTTTTATTGGACCAACTATATAGCTGACAGAGAGATTGGACAAGCTAAGGGCACTTTTTGCCCTTTCTCAGGTCTGGGTGCCTTTTCTGACCTCTACCAGACAACCAGTCATCCACAGGTATTGACAGCCTGTTTTTGTTCTTTTACGTCAAAGTTTATCTATTTGAATGCATTATTCTTGCTTTGAAGCTATACTTGATAACTTCTTTTTGTTCTTAGTGTACAGCTTTTCTCCACAATTAGTTCCTGTTTCCTTCTACATATGGAGTTAAATCCAAGCCACTGTCTTAATCTGCAGTTCAGTTTAATTTAGACTGTACCTACTTCTTTCCCAGGCCTGAAGAAGGGCACTTTATCTAACTTCTCTCCCAAATGTACAGTTGGCCTACTAAAAAATAGTATAAAAAAGCTCTTTGTTTCTTGCATGTTTCTTGGACCCTCTTGACTACAACAACACTCCAACCCTATTTTCTGTACAGTGATATAGCTTCACCAGGGGAGGGAGGGCTGCCTGCCTCCTCATGCTAAAGACACTCTTGTGAGGTAGTGCCTACGGAGGTGATGGGGGTTTTCAGGCTAATCATTTTGAATAAGAGTTTAAGCATCTAAAACCTTTAGATAGCAATTTGACTTTACATTAAGCTGGCTGGCACTAACAGCAGCTCCTGAGTTTTCACAAAAAAGCTGTAACCAAGTATTAGAAAAGGACTTTCCTTCATACAAAATCAAAGCAAATTGGGCTTTCTTCAGCTGTAGTGTACTTCCATATGTTGCCAGTAATGGGATTGGTTACCAAAAGCAATTGTGTTTGATCATCTGTGGACAGTGGTTTGCAAATTTATTCTCTTACTGGAAAGCAAATTAAATTGTATCTATGAATCTGTCATGCAGCAGGAAATTTGGAAAAAAATATTTTAAAATCTACACCGCCTGCACAGGGTTGACTAGAAAATTGGTTCGTTATTTTGTCTTTCTGGCAGAAGTCAATGTAATGATAAAATAATTTCTATGGATTCCTGGTGCAATAGCAAACAAAGAAGACAGTGGAGGTTCATGCATGTTCAGCAAGACACTTCTTTTTCAGTTGCATATGTACTGTTTTCAAACATTCAGTGTGTACATCCTTTTGTATTTTATTTTGCTTGAAAATAAGCCAGCTCAATTTTTACCTTACCTTTATTGGGTGGTGGGAGAATAGGTTTGGTGCCCCACTGTCACTGCCAATGACAAAATAATCGCCACATTCCAGGGTAAGTAATTGGTTGTCATGATTTGTTTTTTTTTTTTCTTTTTTAAGTGAATAGTATGAAATAAGATTGCCCAAGTCTCCGATCTGTTGACTTCAGCTTCTTTGGGCTATGTACCAGTTTGTTGTTTATGTGACATCCTGCAGTTACACATAGGTACGGTACTTAGAAACCTGTTTGTGTTTCTGTTATTCTCCCTCAGGCTTGCTGTCCTACGGGATCAGGTGGTCTTTGCTGTTCGGCAGGAATACGTCCTGCTTGGGGATCAGCTGCTGGTCCTGCAATCAGGTGACGAGGTTGCTATTATCCCACCCATCAGTGGTGGCTAAGTCCAGCCGAATACATTAGGTATGTAAACTCCTTTCCAACAGTAGGCTGTAGGAGGCAATTGCATTGAAACAACTCTTGAATTTTCTCATCTTCCTTTTTGTTTAGGTCCAATGGTTTGCTGGATGACTTCCTCCTTCTGCTAGCTGTCCTGGACAGGATGTACCAACATTCCCTGCTGTAGAGATCTGTTATGCTGGCACTGAGCTGTGATTGGGTACAGAAATAAATGATTAACACACATACAACAATCAGGTAGCCAAAATAATTCAGGCATGGCTTTTTTTTTGGTTAAGATCTAGTTATGTTACAGAAAAATAATTTTAAAGAAATGTAATACTATATTATTTTTATTTTTAGACAAATTTCCTTTTTTCTTTTGTGACAAGAATAGCTGTCCTATTAGGTGGCTTCAGTTCTCCTAACCAGTGTAAATGGGAAATTCATGTTCATACTGATGTAGTGGGACTAGAATCTGGCCAACTACTGTTTAAATATACTCTTCCTAAATATACTTGCTTTGCCTATTAAGTGACCCTACTAATTTCTGGAGAACAAGTGGTAGTTACTGGTTTTAGTCTGAAGTCAGGCAGAAGGCAAAAGGCAGGGCAGGGTGGAACCTTAGAGACTAATTGGTTAAGAAAGGCCTGAGGTTTCACAGCCTCTTTAATTAGATGCTGTGCAGCATGTTTGAGGAACAAATGCAGCATGATGCTTCTTGTTTACACAGGAATGTTTGGGAATGAGGGGACATTACATGGTGGATAGGTGTCACTTCATTCAGGACCAGCTTCCCATTTCGGGGATTCTTTGAGGACATCAGCACACATCTCTAAAATTTGGAACTATCCCTGAAAATTCAGGATTGGTTTCATGTTGAGGAGAGTTTGGGTTTAGGATTGGTAGTTCTCAGTAAAAAAAGCATATAAATATATAATAATAATATGCCTTGTCCATTAAAAAAGAGAGACCTCCACATTACCAACAGGCATTACAATGTGTATTCTCTCAGCAGTGGGGCTGAGGATGGTAATTGGCATGGAGACATCTTCCTTTTCTTTTGGGAGGCAGTGACGGGGATGCGAGCCCTCTCAGACTGAGGAAGGAATTAAACATGGGTCTCCCCCATCCTGGGAAAGTGATTTAACCACTAAGCTTTTAAATAAAGATAGGACATCACCATTATCTCTATTTTAAAAGAAAGTATGTGTATTAGGCATGCTCTGAGAGCGCCTGCTGAATCAAGATCATCAGGGGATTTGGATGAAAAACTTAGTTTCTAGATCACGATCAGGCACAGGCATAAACTAGATACTGCTACTCAGTTCTGTCACGAGTGAAATGGTGGGTTCTAGGTTGGTACACATTATGAGACTCATAGATTTTCTGGATAAACCGGCTCACCAGTGTTAGAGAAATTGCAGCTTGCAAATTACTTTAAAGTTAGTTTGAATTTTATACCTTATTTACTTTATAGAGAAACCATGAATGAAATTGAGGAAGAGCCAAAAGATTTCATCAAATTGACCCAGGCGAAGCTCTCTGTAGATGAAGTGTCAGTGTTGGTAACTTCACCATGCTGTGGGGCTATCTCTCTGTTTGTAGGTGAGTTCTGGGCTCCTAGAATGAGTCCCTGGGTGTCTAAATAGTATAATCAGTAGAGCACAGGTTTCTACATAATCCCAGCTTTAAACATCCCTTTAAAAAATAAGTCTCAGGAACAAATCGTGATGTATGACAAAATTCTATATTTGTTGTTTAAAGCAGGATCCTGGCAAAGCCATTACAAAGCTCCAGAGTGGGGAAGGAGATGCTAAGAAGCCTCATTGCTTCTGTGGCCATTGTTGTGGCTGGCTAGAATTTGGGCCCTCTTTATAATTTGGAATTTACCTCTTTATAAAATGGTAACAGCAAAAGAGAGGAGACCTAATACCACCCTTTTAGTTAATTGATGCTTCAGAACCCAGAATGAGATGGGATTTGATATGTTTCCAAGTACCAAAAGGGCGGTTATAAAAGGGATGGAAATAGGTGTTTGGTAGCAGGGGATAAGACAAGGAGCAACGTCTTAAGTTTCAGAAAGGGAAGTATAGGTCAGATGTTGGGAAGAACTTTCTCACTGAGGAAACATTGGAACAGCTACCCAGAGAGATTCTGGAACCTCTGTTCTTGGAATTTTTTGAGTGCGTGCTGGAAAAACACTTGACTGGAATGGTTTATTTAGAGAGAATCCTGTCTTGAGAAGGGGGTTGGACTAGATGACCTCCCTTCTCACCCTACTTTTCTGTGATTCTAAACATTTGTGCTCTTAAATACCATGTTGCATGGACAGATGCAGCAGTGTCTTGCACAATTTTCTGAAAATATATCATCAAATGTATTGTCACTAAGTATGTTTCCACCTTGGCCATTAGGAACTCTATGAACACAGAGTCATCAGGCTGTATTAAATCTCATCGACATTAGAATTGACAAGTCTTGTTAGAAATTCTTATGTCATAGTACTGAACAGTCTCTGACCAGTTCAGAGCAAAAACTTACATCTACTGCATGTATGTTCTGTTTAAATTTTAAGTACTATGAAGCACAGATCATCATTTTCCTCTATGTTTTTATAGTACTGGTACAAACATGTCCGGGCCCCTAACAGCAGTTCCTAGGTGTTACTGCAACACAAAGTAATAAAACATCATTTGTACTTAATTTATCAATCATTTGTTTTTAGGCACTACAAGAGATAATTTTAATGGGAAAAAAGTGATTCATTTAGAGTATGAAGCATATACACCAATGGCAGAAGCAGAAATAAAGAAAATCTGCAGAGATGTTAGAAAAAAATGGCCAGCAATCAAACATGTAGCCGTGCATCATAGACTTGGGTATGTTTCAACAAACTCTAGGTCAGGGGTTTTCAAACTTTTTACAGTTGAGCCACCCCTTAATAGACTCAAGGTGCTCTTTGGAAATTGCCAGCTGTTTTTACTCAGTTTTTGACAATAGAAAAATAATAGAGCAATTCTTCTGTTGTAAAGAACTCAGAAAGACCACAACAGTCCATCATGTTTTTATCACTGGATTTCTATTTGAAATTTCTGAGTTTACCTTTTGAATCATTTTTACACAGCTAACAGTGTAATATTGTGGCACCAGGCATCACCCTTGACAACATCTCAAGGCACCCTATTGAGAATCACTGCCCTAGCTATTTATATACTGTCAATGTTAATTAATACTAATCTGATTTTTCTGCTTTCCCCTAGCTTGGTTCCAGTGACGGAAGTGAGTGTGATTATAGCAGTCTCCTCTCCCCACAGAATAGAATCTCTCAATGCTGTGAGCTACTGCATTGACACTTTAAAAGCAACAGTTCCAATATGGAAAAAGGTAAACCATCTTGATACTTAAGATGGTTTATTCTATTTGCAAACAAAGCACCACCTATTAGGGCTGTGTGAAGCTTTGGTCACCGATTTGATTTGGAGAAGATTTGGCCCAATTTGGAGGCCGAATCCAAATTGAATCAGGAGAAAAAAACCCTCTGAATCGATTTGGAAATGATTTGGTGATTCGGAAGGCAGTCTTTCAGAGGAACGGAAAATGAGAAGAGGGAGGGGGAGCAGGTGGGGAAAGACTGACATCTGTGGCTGGCCAGTGACTGTGATCTTTCCCTGAGTCCTCTTCCAATCATAGTACTCTGGGGGAGGGACATAGAAACAGCATATAAGCCTCTGTCTGCAGCCTTTCTGTCCCTTTTGTGAGCTGTTTCTGCTTGAACAACTGTCTGAAATGTACTAGACTGGATTGGCTTCCTAGTCAGCCTTCTGCTAGTTTCTGTTCTTGGAAAGGATTGCTGCAGCTTACTAACTAGAATTCCTCTACTTATCCCTATCCAATCCATTTCTTTCAACTTATTCTTCCCCCTAAAACCTCTTAATTGTTCACGTTTCTCCCCCGCTTCTTAAAATGAAAGCTGTGTTTTCCCTGGCAGTGTGATCCATTGCTGTGCAGGAAAGCACATATATTACACACACTCTCACACATACACAAAGAAGAAGAAGAGATATTATTTTAGTTGCATACACATACAGACTAAACGCAACATAGAAGAAGTCAGATACAGAAGAAGATACACACACACGCACACTGTTTCCAGCACAGGAAAGATTTAATATGAAGTGTTCTGGAAAGGCAGGTCCCAGGTCTCCTGGCAGGGGAAGGAGAGGGTCTGTAGGTCCTCCTTAGCCTGGCACTAGTGGGAGCATGCCCAAAGGGAAGTCTCCCTCTTGCTCCAAAGCCCCCATCCCCACGAAGCATCAGCAGGCCACCCTGGAGTGGTGGGGAAAAGCTGCAGACAAAGGGGGGCATGTTCTGAAGGCGAGCAAGGTAACCCAGAGCACTGGGGAGATGCTTGCTCTGGATGGCTAGCCCTCCTCTTTAGTTGAGTGGCTAGGGTTCAGGAGGCTCATGGTGCTCATGGCCCCATCCTACCAAGTGCCTGCATGCACCACCTTTAGCAGGATGGTGGTTCCCTCCCTGTATGAGGCATGCAGGGAGTACTTGAAGGAGGAGCTGCACAAGGCAGGGCTGTAGGTAGCCTTGCACTGCACCTCAGACAGCTGGAGCAGCCAGGGTGGAGATCACTTCTACCTTTCCCTCACAGGGTACTGGTGCGATCAGTCAGGCCATTGGTGGGCTCTCCTTCAAGCCAAGGTGATGGATGAGTCCCACACGGCAAGGGAGATTATGGTGGCCATGAACCACTTGGTGCAGGGGTGGCTTGTTGGGCAGGGCGAGCTCACTCGCGGGCTCATGGTCACTGACAATGGGGCCAATATGGTCAAGGCTGTCCGTGATGCCAGTTTTGTTGGCATCCACTGTGTGGCACACAAGCTGCACCTCAGTCCCTGCTGAGCTCCTGTGCCAGGATGAATTTGGAGGTATGGGCTGGGGCTATGGGCAAGGAGGACAGTTTTACAGGAGGACAGGATGCATGATCACTAAAACTGCACTCTGCCGGGGTCAGGAGGCCTGGTGGGAGTGCCCCAGGAAATGCCAAGACCAAGGATCTCCTTGGTAAAAGGTGGGTAGGAGGCGCCATAACCTCCAGCCACCACACACACACACACTCTCTCTCTCTCACTCCTGACTGGGGAAAGCCCAGACCCATCACATCTTTGATAGGCCTGAAGCTTGCTGGTTGCAGTAGAGTTGTGAGGCTCCAGGTGAGCTCAGCTTAGCTGCCTGGGATGCCAGCTTTTGGGTTGAAAAACCCTTTGTCAGGCTGAGGAAGCACCTGCAGTTGCAGGATGTGTGCGCTGTTTCTGGATGGAAGGAATAGTAAAGAAGCCAGAAGCTGGCATGCAGTGCATGCAAGAAAGCTGGTCAGTGAAAATGGAAATGGAGGCATCAGGGGGTGGGAGAAACAGGCTGGGGTAGGCAGGAAGAGGGATGTAGCAAGTAAAAGTGAGAGGTACCTGCTGCCACCTGGGGAGTCAGATGCTTAGTGGGTTGTAGTGTGTCATAAATCCAATGTCTGTATTGAGTCCATGAACTTCTGTACCTAGGAGGTTGATGAAGTGAAGTTCATAGGCCCGTCTGTGAAAAGTGGTTTGTAAGTTCCCTTTGAGGATCAGGCCTGGAGATTGGAGACTTTTTTTTTGTGAGAAATGTGCACCCACAGGTAGTTGGGTATTCTTGTCTTTTGACAGATTCTGGTGCGCAGTTTGTGCAGGTAGGTTTTGTGTTTTGGGCTGTAGGAAGTTTGCTTCTGGTGATGAGGTTAGCAAGGTTCGGTGCTTGTTTGAGTTTACAAACCACCTGTAAATTCAAAGTGGAGCTTTGGCAGTGGAGAGACCACTGTAGCATTCTGGTGGGGGGGGGTTTACCCATGCCTGCTCTAGGGCTCGGCAGGGAGCAACTGCACCAGGCCTTAGGTGGCTGGGAGCTGTTCTTATGCTGCCACCATTTCTCTTTGCCCCACAGCTGCCATTCAGGTGCAGCTCCCAAGCCACCCAGCTCTGTTGTAGCTCCCAGCTGTCTGGGACCAGCAAGGGCAGAAGCAAAACCTCCCACTGCTGAAATGCTGCTGAAGCTCTGGAGCCTGTGTCAGACCAGAACTAGTTCGTTCCATCCTGCAACACCCAGAGGTTGCTGGCTGCTGATTTAGACTCTTTGTTCACGAAGCTCTGTACAGGTAGTGCACGCTAAGAGCTACATTAATCCAAGTGGCGTACCGCCTTGAGTTCTTTATAGGACTAAGATGTCAAACTCATTGCAGAAACTCCAGGCCATCTTCTGCTCTGTATAAGTAATCATAGGCTGCCTGCTGAATAGGTGTAGGAGACCTGTGAAGCACATCTTGTTCTTTGTTTCTATTTGCAGGAGATGTATGAAAAAGAATATTCTTGGAAAGAAAACAAGGAATGCTTTTGGACAAACATGGAAAAATAACTCCACCTTCTTTTCAGCTGGTCACTCTATGAAGATTAGTTTTGAGTTGTTTCCAGAAAATATAACTAGGAATTTCACTTCCATGCTAACAAACACTTGAATAATTTATATTGGTTTAATTATTCCAGTTATGAAATGATATACGGTGAATGGATTATTCTTAAAAATTATACTTAAAAATAACTTCAGATCTTTAAAATCACCTACTCTGCTCTTGTTTGTAGCAGGCCAGTATTTAAAATATATTTCATAAAATTCTGGGATGAAAGGTGTCTAAAGTTGTTTGCTTCATTGTCTTTTTGCTGGCAGTTTGCAGTCACTGCCAGTATTGGACATCCCAGGTGGACAATCAGATGCGTTTTCAGACCTCAGGTTTTTTTAGTATGGATGCAGTTAGTTTATGAGCTTTGGCATACTTTTTACATTCTTGTAATTTGAAAGATGCTTCAAGTTGACAAAGCACTTTGGTACGTGCAGAGGGAAAATATATGCTATACTCAAAGAGTTTATTAATATTTTGGTAATGGTCATTTCCCAGTTGCCTTTTTTCACAGAGATGTTTTTGTTATGCAGTTGATATTACAAGCCCATCACATTATTACAAGCCCATCACATATATATGATATATATCAACTGCATAACAAAAACATGTCTGTTAATCCTCTGTGAATATATGATCCTATATAGGATCCTATATATAGGATCATAGGACAGTAGGCCTGGAAGGGATCTCACAAGGTCATCTAGTCCAGCCCCTGGCTTAAGGCAGGATCATCTCTGACTAAATCACCCCAGACCAGCATCTCTCCAACCTGTTCTTGAAAATTTCCAGGGATGGAGAGTCTACAACTTTTTAAGTAGCCTATTCCAATGCTTGAACACCTTCATAGTCAGAAAGTTTCTTCTAATCTCCAGCCTAAATTTCCTCTGCTGCAGTTTGAGGCCATTGCTCCTAGTCTTGTCCCATATAACCACAGACAATAGTTTATCTCCATCTTCTCTATAATTGCCCTTCACGGATTTAAAAACTCTCAAATTGCCCCTCAGTCTTCTCTCTCCCAGACTAAATAATCCTAATTCTAACAATCCTTTCACCCTTTCCTCATAAATTATTCTTTCCAGACGTCTAATCATTTTTGTAGCTTCCCATTGGACTCTTTCCAGTCTGTCCACATCCTCCTTAAAGTGTGGGGCCCAAAACTGGACACAGTACTTCAAATGAGGCCTCACCACTGCAAAATAGTGACAAAATCACTCTGGATAGATCATTCAAAGTAAGATAATATAATCCAACTGGAAAAAGCTGTTAGCAGTAAAATCTTACTGAGGTATGGACATGATTAATTTTGAAGGAATTTTAAGAGATGTATAGTTCTGTGCTACCTCTTAAAAGATGGTCATTGTTAGAAAAAAAAAAAATTAAACAACCAAAACAGGTTCAAGGCTTTGACTTTAGGTGCTCTTGCAATTTTAAACTTTAACTATGAATCAGGACACTCAAAATGAATTTAATTGTTTAAAACAAGTGTCCATTTAAAAATCAAATACTAATTTTCAGTGTTCAGTTGATTTTTTTTTTTTACATTCATTCTTTCAGTGTATATATTATTCTTTCCACTCTTGCTCCTGTTTAAGTGGGGTGTTTTGTACACAGCAAAAATGGCTTGACAGTGTGCCCAAGCCTTTACACTGTTCTGTTCAAATCAGTGGGGGTATTTACATAAGCAAAGCATGTAAGTATTATCAATTTGTACTTGAAGCCTGAACTGAGACCAGAGTACTGTTGTTCTAGACATTTTAGTGAGAGACTGTACCTGCCTCAAATATTTTATACTCTGAAGTCAGAGGTGGCAGCCTGTGGTACCTGGACTGAATCTGGGTCTCCAAACCCTTGGCTCTGGCTTCAGTTGGCTTTGCTCAAGAGGGGCTCTGCCTGTGCCACAGAGTGCAGGCTCTTATGAAGGGGGGCTTTTGCCATACCGCGCTGCAGCTGGATGACTGCAGCTGGATGTGTCTAGTGCCTACCCTTCCTTTAACCTGAGCTGGGTCATTCACCACCTTGGTGGAATTGCCAGCTCTTGTTCTAAGTAGACAGGATGGAAAAAAGATGAGGGGAAAAAAGCACAAAAAAGTGAGTTGCCCAAGACTACACATCATACCATTAATTAAATCATACAACGCAACATAAATATTTAACCTGTTTTATTGTTTTCCCGATTGCACAAAGCAAGAGAACAAGACAAAATCATTTTGTTTTTGCATCATCTCTATCACAGTAATCATTCCTTGTTGTAACAAATAAACCTAACCCCCCCAAACTTAACATTTTTTTTTTTTGCATAAAGCGTGATTAAACTGTTGTATTTTGTGTTACACTAAAGGTAGTGGGGCTTCCCCAGAAGAAAAGCCACTTTTTGCATTATAATTGTCTGGCACAGCTTCCAAATTGTACAGATCCAGTTCTAGATAGAGTACAATGAGTTGAAAGTTGTATTTTCCATGGTTTGAAAGCTTGTGGGGAGAATGCATGAATTTGTATCTTCTGTATGTAAAATATACAATGCTGTCAAAATTGCTAAATAAAGATCATTTCCTCAGTTCAATGATGTTTCCTTTTTAAAAAAAAAGAATATGAAATTAATACTGTCCTGCGTTTCAAATCCTGGCACTCACAGTTCCATGTGAATTTCCTTACTGGGAAAAGCTGTCATCTTGGGTATCAAGCAAATAATGGATGTGTTACTTTACAAGTGGTAGTATAGGACTAAGTAATATAGAGCAAGTTCCAAAGAAGCACTTGAAGCAACAAAGTCCAAATGTGCAGTGCAAAAGACCTTATACAGTGGGAGCGTCTACATGAGACACTAACAGCTCAGTAGCCTAGTAATACTGCACAGTAATGCGTCACATCTCAAACTAGTAAAACACTACTGCGCAGTATTATTAGGCTACTGTGTAGCAGCATTACTTAAAAGATGTGCAGCAGTGCTAGTGAGCAGTAACTCTGGTTACCGTGCATTTATTTATTTATGCCCAACCTGACAGTGAACTCTCCTGTTTGTAAATTCCTAGGTTCTTGCAGTTCTGCATGCACTGTTCTGAGTAGCCAAACTCCTGACTTGCATCCAAGTTCTGTTGGGATCCAGAAAATGGTGATAGCACTCCCTAATAATTTCCAGACATATACCCATTTTCTCTTTTCTTAGTTTTGCCATAGTTGGTCATTATGTTTCCTTATAAAATCACATGTTCAACCTTTTTTTTTTTTTTTACTGATATTGACTCTTGTCACAGGGAGGATACAGGGGACAGATCCTGATGGGCCAAGGGGGAACCCTGGGGGCCAGAACACAACAGAGGAGGTGAGGAAAGAGAGAGAAACAAAGAATCCCTTACCTGCAGCTGACACCATGGCGAAACCGGAAGTGGCAGCGGGACTCATGTGACTTGTTAGCTGCGTCTTTTTGAAACTGCAGCCAGCTGTGGGGAGGAGCGAGCGGAGCTGATCGGGGAAAATAAAAGGCGGCGTGGGCGAAGAAGGGGGGAGACCAGGAGAAGAGTCGCCAGGGAAGGTATCCCTGGAACCCCAATTTAGGAGTAAGAGGGGTCAGGACTGCCTTCCACAAGGCAGAAGGCTGCCCTGAAGACTGCTGAAGAAAGGACGCCAGTATCACGGTGGATGTACCTCTTCCAGACGAAGGAGTCGAGGGAGAGGATCCAAGGTTTCAGGGCGAAGAAGCCGACAGCAGGGATGGTCCTGAAGAGAGAGTGAAGGAACTCGAGTCATCGACCCAGGTGGGATCAGTACGGGTTTGGAAAGGCTCCAAGAGCAAACCCAGATGGGGAATGGAGAGCCTAAGCAGCGAGAGGGGCTGCAGAAAACAAGCTTCTACTGTATAGAGCTGCCCAGTGAGGGACAGAGTGGGCGGAACTAGAGGGACCATCAAGGGTCCAGTTGGCATGCAGGGGGCCTGCAGTGTGGAAAGGAGAGTGTGATAACCGCCAGGCATATGTGTACTCAGGACAGGGTTAGTTAGAAATTCACAGGGCTAGGTTAGCCCATTTTTGTGTGGGGTCAGGAATCTTACTGGCAGTGTTTTTCCTTTGGTTTCTTTCTGTTTCCCACTTTTGGAGGGGTAGGGAGGCCGGTCACATTGGGCCTTAGAGTTGGCTCAATCAGGTGTCAGGTTAGACCTTGTACATCTTTACCAAAGTGCCCATAACACCAAGAGGTGAGGGTCAGGCTGAGAGACTTCAGCAACTTGTCGTGGCTGGGTATCAGGGTGAGGTGTAGGGGAGGTTGGAGCCTCACAGAAGACTGCCGTCTAGAGATTCCAGACACTGGATAACCCCCAGTAGTTGGACCCCAGTAGTCGGACTGAAGGAACGAACAAAGTCGTGGCAGGCGAGATTGGGGTGGAGGCTACCCCGGGGTGGGACATCCGTGCAGTACAACCACAGGGACGTAGTGACGAGCAGTCCTACACACCCAAAGCCGGGCGGCATGGGACCGGATGATCGAAGCCTGACGGGTGCAACTCTATTTTCATCCTGCACTGGTTCCTTAGCATCAGCATATAACAATTTCTTGTCAGTGGTGCATACTAAATCTTTTGCCCTCTTCCATGAACTCAGCCTTGTTTCTTGTTTTCTTGTATAAATGAAAACAACTATATTAACCAAACCAGTGTCACCACACACTTTTTTTATACTCTACTTGGGCAGGGACTTCATGTTCCCACAGAATCCTCTTAAGTCTTGAAAAAAGATTTACCAAAAACCTTTGACAGTCACTTCTGCCCAAGGACAGCCCATTAAGGAATATTCAAAGGTTTCTGTTATTTCTGGACAGATCTTTTGGACAATTTTTTCTTCCTTGTGACTCTAATTCTTTTCATCCTTGATTGCCACTTATTACTCTCCCTCCAATTATTTCTTCATATTTATTTGTGAACCAATCTGATCCTAATAATTGTAAAGCTTAAGACCAAAGTCCCTGGCCTAATTGGCCAGCATTTGTACAGATTCATATATATGACACTGCGGTATCTTTAGATATAATCCTTACCATGTATTGTTCTTAAATTCTTCCCAGGTCACATTCCACATTGCTAACTACATATTAACCAAATAAGCTGGAAGCTCCTGCTGTATTTTATCCCTCCACAATTGACCACAAATGACACACCTGCCCACAGTCCCCTCTCTCTTTCACCTTCCCCAGAAAAGCCCACCATCCTTTATTAGAGTAAATTCTGAGCCAGACTGGGCTTTCTGTCAATCACCTGCCCCTAATCCTCTCAGTAATTTAGATTCTGAAAATAAAAGAAAATAGAGTGGCTAGAAAAACAGCTTGGTGCCTAGTTCAGGACCCTGTGTTCCTACATTCTCCCTTGCTTGTACAGATGGAGGGAGGTGCGTCTGCCCTGGATACAAAACAGTCTCTTTCCCTGCCCCTTTGACTGACATTATTTTTGCTCTTCTCGACTATTATGGTAGGAAATTCTGGTACTCTCTGCTGCCCCAGCCACATTGCTTTGATCTTTTGAAAGCTTAAAGACCTTTTTATTTTCATGGACCCTTTTAGCCTCTTAATTTCCTCTTAGGTTGTCACCAACATTGCGATGTTAGGTGCGCACACCACCACTTTGGAAAGGAAAGATGATCGGGACCATGGTCCACATTCCAAATAATTCTAACTTGATAGCAATTGTTAATGTTTATCCCAGTGATTCTCAGCATCTTACACTTGAGGCACCCCTTGGAAATGCCTACTCCCTGTTTACACTTTTTTTTTTGAATGCAGAAAAATAACAGCAATTTTTCTGTTGCAAAGAACTCAACGATCAAAAGTATAGATTTTTATGTGAATTCTCTGGATTTATCTTGTGAAATGTTAGCAAACCGAACGGTACTATCATTATATGGCACCCTGTGGCACCCTTGAATGGCTCTCTAGACACCTCAGTGCTATAGCTTACTGATCTATCACTTCTGCTAGGTAACTTGGTCCTAGAGAGAACAAGGTCTCCAGACCACCCACCCAATCTTTCAAGACGGATTGAACAAACTACTAAAAAAATTCCTCTTACCTGTTCCTTCCCTTGCATCCCTTTTTCCTCTTCTCTTATTATGGCCTTGAGTTTCAGGGGAACCCTTTCATCTCATATAAAGCCCTTCATTTCTGCTCTTGGCATCTTCAGAAATAATTGGACAATTTAATGACAATTAATTGCAGCGACTAAGGACCAGCAGGTTTCATATTCAGTGGCTGTGTCTACATGTGTGCTTAGCTGCCAAGTAGACTAATTAGCTGTGGAGTAAAGCATCACCATCTACACGTGACACTATTATGCTTCGGTAAATACTGTCTCAATGTGCGGTAATTAACTGCAGTTAAACATACATGGAAACACTGACTGTGGGCATAAATTGCGTCAAGTCAACCCAGCCAGTACAGGGTCAGACTTCTACGTGTCACCTAACCACATGGCTCTACACTGTCAGCACCCTCATGCCCTAGCCAGTCTCTCTGCCATCTGACACCACCACCTGGAGCCCAAGGCTGACCCCCTTGTCCTGGCGTAAAGTGCTCTGCCCCACCCTAAATTGCTGCTGTTCTGGATGCATGTGTAAATCTTACACGCAAAAGTAATTTACCCTAGCTCAAACTTATCTGTTTATTGCTTTAAATTAACTGCACATGCAGGTGCACCCAGTACGGCTATGCAAAGCTTCGGTCACTGATTAGATTTGGAGGAGATTTGGCCCGATTCAGCAACCGAATCTCAGCATCAGAATCAAATCAGGAGACCCATTAACCTCTCCAAATCAAATAAGAAGCCTCTGATTCAATTCGGAGAGATTCGATGATTCAGACATAGACACAGCTTTATATGTTTTTTTTTACGTACCTCAGGGTACCAGGCGGCTCGTGAATGCTGAGATGGCGGGGTGGATGGAGTGTCCTATGGGAGCATGGGGGG